ATCATCATCATCTATCATCTATCTATCTATCATCTATCATCTCATTAAAGGCCCAACTGCAGATGTGCAAATTACAATTTAAATAGGTGCCATATGAAAGAAATGAATATGAAATTTGGATAATGCAATAATTTTGAAAAACTAAAATATAAACGTTATGTCAAAGGTCTCATAATTGAGCCCAATTAGTAGAACAGAGGGAATCACTGAAGAGTTTGGTAGGTAGAAAAACAACAAAAACTATGTTAAATAATATTAAGATATGGATATTTATAAAAGTTATGTTAGAATAATATTAAGACATGAAACCCAAAGAGTGATTAAAGGGAGAGAGACCATATATTTTTTTGAGGAAAAGTGAAGAGCCACAGCATCGCAAGGATCCCTTCACCATGATGGCTATGCGGTCACCCAGGGTGTCAGCTTCATCCATGTAGTGGGTGGTCAGTAAGATGGTACGATCCTGTTTACACTGCTGAAGGAGATCCCAGGTGTCCCTCCTTGAGGCTGGGTCCATGCCAGCAGTGGGCTCATCAAGTATCACCACCTAGAGACCAGAGAACAATTCCAGGACCATGGTTAAACACTACGAATTAGTGCCACTAGAGTCTTACCAATTACAGGCATAGTCTGTTTATGCTATTTTAATCACTTGTCCAACCAAGCTAAGATAAATTTAGACTAAAACTGAATTAGGCATGCTGGACTGATTCCAAACCTGTGACCATTTTATACCAACAAGGTTGACAATGTGAGTCCACCTGGGATTTGGGAAGTTCCTTCAGAGTGGTAGATACATATCAGCTCTTGGGTTTGTGTCAGCTGATTTTTTTAGACTTGCTTCTCTGGGGACCCATTTTTAGCTTTTATTTTACTCTTACCTTGGAGCCCCCTATCAGTGCTATAATGATGGAGAGTTTGCGCTTCATTCCTCCACTCAGTGACTTTGAAAATGCATTTCGCTTTTCTAGCAGGTTAAAAGTGGACAGCATGCGGTCAGCTTCCATACGGTGCATCTTTTGAGGGACTCCTTTTAACTGGAGAAAGAAGGCAGGCTTTACATGGTGCTTACAACTTCATCGTCAGAAACATATTTCACCAGCTCTTTTCTTACACTGTCTTCTTCCCTTTGCCCCTCTTTACGTTTAAAGAAGAATTCATCAAAAATAAATTTTTGAACTTTCTAAGAATAAGGATATTGACAGTTGGTAATCTATCTTAAGTACACGAATAGAGTGGAGAGAAAAGGAACGCATCTTTGGCTTACCCCACAGTAGAAATGAAGGTGTTCTGATACTGTCAAGTAACTAAACAGCAAGTCATGCTGGGGACACAGGCCCAAGCTTTTCCTGACCTGGTCCATATGCTTTGAGATGGCATATCCGTTAACATAGGCCTCTCCACTGGAAGCAGGATAGAGACCTAGAATCGAGCAGAAGGTGTTACAGAGGCTTAGTTTTCATGAGGGAGCATGAAGACAAACTGCTCACTAGCACCTCAACTTCAAAACATACTTACAGATTACTCATCGGAATTAGTAATATCTCAACACCTCGCACCCGTTAGAATGGCTACTATCAGTAAGACAAGAAATAGCCAGCGCTGGAGAGGATGTGAGGAAAAGGGAACCCTCACGCGCTGCTGGAGGGAATGGAAGTTGGTACATAACTACCACAAACCGATGTGGCGGTTTCTCAGAACATTAAGAATAGAGCTACCCTACGACCCGGCAATCTTTTTTCCTAGGTATCAACCTGAAATTTTTGAAAACAGTTATTCATAAAGATAGATACATATGTTTATTGCAGCTTTTTTTTTTTTTTACAGTAGCCAACACATGGGAACAACCCAAGTGTTCTTCAACGGATTATTAGGTAAAGAAGGCGTGGTACGTGTATAAACATAAAAACATGAAATATTACCATTTACCACAACATGGGTAGACCTTGAAAGTATTATGCTAAGTGAAGTAAATCAGATGAAAAAGTACCGTGTGATTTCACCCACATGTGGTATATGAAACAAAAAGCAACAAACTCGCAGATACAGACAACAGAATGGCCATGAGGAGAAGGCGCGTCGGGGAGATAAGCAGGGAAAGGGAATCAAACACAAGGCGATGCAAGGAGGCTAGGCTTCAGGTGGTGAGCACACACCAGAGTATGCAGGTGTATTATAAAGTTGTACACCTGAAATTTGTGCTGTTTACCAATATTAGCCCGATCAATTTAATAAAAAAGAAACTAATATTGAAGCCCTCCTGAGCTTTTTTTTTTTTTTTTTTTAAATCAAGGCTTTTGTGGTATTAGTGATATACTCAGGAGAGGCATTTTGTTTTCATGTTTTCAAGTTTTTATTTTACAATAATCCAAACATACAGAAAAATTGCAAGAACAGTACAATAAATTCTCTTATACCACCCGCCTGAAAAAGAATAATTAGGAATATCACACACAAGGAAAATTCTAGAAATTATCAATTGTTATCTTTGGAGTGAAGAGATTAGAAAGAATTTTTAATTTTTTGTTTCATTAACTGTATGTTCTAATTTTCAATGAGTGCCAATGAGTACCAATCTCCCAGGTATTAAAAACACTAAAAAGTTTGTTAAAATAGAGCAATCCAGCATTGTCATAAGCCATTTGGCAACATTTATGAATTATGTTATAAGCTGTGCACTGCCCTAGACTGTAGTAGATGCTTTTAAAATGGAAACCCACACAATAAAACTATTATCATTTAAAAATTTAAATTTTAGTTGGGGGAGGTAACACATAATAACACTAAAATTGTTTTAAAAATGTATCTAGCATTTATCCATAGCTGTGATAACTGTTTAAATTAAATGGGAAAAATATCATTTTTTACAGTGTAAAATTTTTATATTTAGAATTAGCCAGCTGGACTCAGTTTAGATGATCCCAATTTTGTTGGCAACAGCCAAAGCATCCTAGTTCGGAGCCAGTCCAACTGCCTTCTTTTCTCTCTCCATCAGCCCGGATCAGGGTGTTGACCTTGGCCACGCCAATGTCACAGAGCTTTTTCATAGCCTGTGTCATCTGGTGCTTGATGGTCCTGACATCCACAATGAACACAAGTGTACTGTCGTCGTCTGTCTTCTTCATGGCTGACTCGATGGTCAGGGGGGATTTGATGATGGCACAGTGGTCAAGCTTGGTTCTTCTGAATACGCTCCTCCGAGGATATTTAGGTTGCCTTTGGAGCCTCAGTGTCTTCGGCTGTCGGAAGGTGGGTGAAGTGCAGATCTTTTTCTGTGTGGCTGTGGACGCCTTTCAGCACTGCTTTCTTTGCTTTTAAAGCCTTTGCTTTGGCTTTGGCTTTGGGAGGTGCAGGTGCTTCCTTTNCAGCACTGCTTTCTTTGCTTTTAAAGCCTTTGCTTTGGCTTTGGCTTTGGCTTTGGGAGGTGCAGGTGCTTCCTTCTTTGCTTTTGGCACCATCTTGACATGCAACATTATCTTGTATTAGAATCAGCTGTACGGCCTAGTGGTTAGACATGTATATATCTTAAGTAGTGACACCCCCCTCCCCCAATATTTCTGGTACCCACCTGGCACCGTACATAGTTATTACAATATTACTGACTATATTTTCTATGCTGTACCTTACATTCCCATGACTATGTTGCAGCTACTAATATAGACTTCTCAATCCCTTCANTTACTGACTATATTTTCTATGCTGTACCTTACATTCCCATGACTATGTTGTAGCTACTAATATAGACTTCTCAATCCCTTCACCTTTTTTTTTTTTTAAATATATCTTTATTGATTTCAGAGAGAGGAAAGGAGAGGGAGAGAGAGAGATAGAAACATCA